TAAAGCAATAAAAGCCAGCCCTTATCATTCATGTACTCATCAAGCTTTCTCTTAAACTCACTTAAATTTACTGCCTCCACAACATCCAAAGGCCAACCATCCTGTTAGAAAAATAAAACGGTCTTAGCTGAAGACAATTCCTACCCTGCCAAAATGTATATTTGTTCCCTAGTCCTATTATTCTTATTATTAAGTATGAAAAAAGATGATGCCTCAACACTATCAATTCCCTTCACAATCTTAAACATGTCAATCAGAGAGAAAACAATTTGAAAGATTACAACCTCTCCTTGTAAGACAACCACTCCACCCCAGTAACCCTTTCCAACAATTCAACGTCTTTCCAACTGTGGCCTAACCAATGATCTATACAATGAAATTATAACCTCTTTAGACTTGCATTTAATATTTCTGTAAATACAACCTAAAATCCTATTTGCCCTACCACTAACAACAGCACACTGCATGGCTGGCTTTGGAAACTGATCAACTACTACACTAAGATCCCTTTCCTTCATGACATTGGTGAGGTTACTCCCATCCAAATAAGTACAGATAGATGTAGATTGTTACAAGCTTTAAGCTATTTAGAATAAACAATTATTGTATCCTGTTATAAACTGCAGTCATTCTGGAAAGAAAAAAAGGGTAATTTAGATTTATTTCATTTTTTTTTTACAACGTCCGTCCAATTGCCCGAGTCTGTATAGAGTTAGGGTAGAGAAGCTACCAGATAAAATAGTTTTCAGAAATAAAAAAAGAGAAAAAAAAGTTTAATTTTTACTTAGGAAGTTTTACAGTTTGCACACAAAACTTCAAAATCTACAGATGAAGTATTTTTTATCTTAAAAAATCACCTTGCACTTGGAGTAGTCATCACCGACTCAATAAATTCATACAAATCTTTAATAAAAAATCTGATGGGTATATAGAAACCTGCTATGATGTTCACACCATGATGCATTGCTTTTCAGGTATGAATAAACAGTATATATCACACTGTTTATTAATTTTTGAAAAAAAAGGGGTTGTGGACCCTCCTAATCTGCACCTACTTATTTTTATAATAATAATAAAAAAATAATAATGAGGGTTAGTTACCCTGGATTCCTCCCAGATTTACTCCTGCTTACACAGTATTAATTAGCTATTAATTCTTGAAACGGTGTCTGCCCTTGCCCCCTAGACACACCCTTATCAAGATCCACACCTGGTTATTGCTTGTAATACAACATTTAACTTACACAATTATAAATGTCTTTAATATTTGGAATGGGTTTAGCCCTCCTGTACCCCTACATTCATAGCTACTTACCTAACATAAAATAATAATTTCTGGGACAAAAATGGATGGGGGATCTAGATCCCCCTGGACCCCCCACCTTCTGTATCAGTGCTTACTTATACAACATTAAAGAATAATACAGTTACCAAATTATAAGTTAGAAACATAAGATATATACACACACACACACAAAAAAAAGAGTAAATTTACACCTAAACACTTAAGTAACCAGAAAGTTGGTGATAGGTGCCGTTAGCCAGTTGCCGTCTCTCTAGCCAGTAGTTCAAAATTACTGGAGCAACAGCAGCCTTAGTAGCTTTGTAATAACAAGAATAGGTCAAGCAAGTTTAGTCTTTCCCCGCTGATTTTTCCAAG